CGCTTGAGCAACTTTTAGTAAGTCGGCAGGAATCCTCCGGGACCTCATGGAGATAGTTTTGCGTCCCTAACTTCCAGGTCGCGCACGACGCCCAGGGCCAGGGGAGGAAGCGCGTTCCCTTCTCCCACAGAAATCATTCGGTGTTTTCTGAGGATCGCCCGGAGCCTCTCCACCTCTTCTGGGTTCAATTCTTCGGGCTCGTCGACAATTTCGTCTTCGATGTTGGCCTCGGGCTGGAGATCGCTGGGGTCGGGGAGGTACGCAAGCCGGTTCATGAGCATATCCAAGAGCACAAATTCGGAACCTTGGTGATAGTAAACAGTGGGTTCTACGTCAAGACATTCCCCAGCCATCGCCACCATCACGAACGACCGGGCCAACGTGACTTGAGCGTCTGTGGGCGCGGACCGAGGGGACTCCCGAGCCGACCCCCGAGAGGCCCCGAGTCGCGAAGCCCGAAAAGGCTTGAGCTTCGTGGTCCAACGATTCCTCCTCGAGGCATGGGGACCAGAGTGATCCAGTTCTGGAGATACATCCGAGCCGGCCATGACGCGGTCGGCACCCGACGCTGGAGCGGCTGTGGTCGGGAGGTCTCCAGGCTTGGGACCGTCCTCACGCCGCGGGCAAGGGACCGACCTCGCTGGCCGTTCGCCCCCAGAGGAATCCGGAGTCCACGAGATCGTTGGGCCTCGGAGACTTAGGAAGCGGTAGCTGGGATCCCCGGGGTCCGCCTGAGGACATGGGTCGGAGTTGGATATGTCGGCCGATCCACAATGGGGGTGCAGTCCGTTTGCGTTCCCGAACTTCTGCGTCCAGGCGGCGCTTCGCCGCGGGTGACCGCATGTTCTCGTAGACGAGGAATTCACTCTCGTCGTACTGGTAGGACCCCGAGCGGACGAAGTTGGTCCCCAAGGGCAACCGATCCTGGTCTATGAGGGTGCCAACCTTGGTATGCAGAAGCTCTTGGACCGGTCTCCGGGAAATGTTCACCACCCGGGCAGCGACAAGGACTCGTTTCGTGCTAAAAAAACTACTAGAGTCACCAAACTGTCTCTTCGACTGATCCACACGTCCATGGATTCGAGGTCTCTTTCGGAGGTTCAGATCCGTATGTACTTGCTGTCCTGGGTGCTAACCAAAGACTCTCGTGCATGGACACGCCAATGGTCCGTCCTAAGTGCGAGCGTTTGCCCCCCCCACGAGGAAAATCCGTTCTTCGTCCGGGGGTCCCACTTCTCCTTCGTGAGCGCACAACCGGACGCCGGCAGCGACCACGAAATTCACCCCCAGGAGAACGTCGATGCCTTGGCTGATGTTCCCGACCCAGATATCTAGGGTGTAAACCACTCGGTGCCCGCGTTTGATCTTGACTCGGCACTTGTTCGTCACTTTAGTCTTCACGCCGTCAATACCGTTAAGCAACAGCTTGTCCCGGAACTCCATCCCCAATTTTAATCTACGCGCAAGGTCTAGGCTGATAATACTGGTGGAAGCTCCGGAGTCGAGCATGAGCAAGGTACGATGGTGGAATACGGAACCATGGACGAAAGCCACTGAACAGGAACTGTCGTCCCAAGTGTTCGTTTTCCCACCAGCCTCGGCGTTCCCCGGGCTGGAGTTCAAACGAAAGTTCATCTTCGTCTGGGGCGACATGACTGGTGTAGAGGGAACCGAGCTCGGAAGTGGGTGTTGGTACAATTGACATGCATTGAGATTCGTTAAGATCCACATACGCATAGGTACAGCAGGTCTGACGGGACTTAGGCTCGTTGCGTACCGGGTCCCTACCCAGCGAGCCGAATTGTGTAACGTCGGCACGGACTGGTTGGGTGTTTACTCCCACGCCGGTCACACTTTATTAGTTGCCAACAACGCTCCCGTGTGTGCCCGAGCTTGCTGCACACGGGGCATGTAGCCGAGGGTCTGGGAGCCCCAGAGTGTCCCGAATCCCTGGAGTCAAGGTCGCCTTGGGGATGTCCGTTGCGGTTGGTCCAAGGCCCCAGGGTCTCGGCGCGGAACACCTCTTCTTGGTCAACTAGTCCGTAGTAAGTTTCGTCGTTTTCCTCGTCATACTGGTACCCGTAGCCAGAGTCGTCTTCGGCTTCCCACCTCAGGTCTCCGGGGTCCGGGACCTGGGGTTCGGAGACTTCAGGAGTTGTCCTGGCGGCATACACCCCCGAAGACCCACGGGGTGGAGCACCTAAGCCTGCGCCTTGCGGCTTATGACGCTTGAACTGCACGACGTTGACGGGTTTCCGGCACATGTCCTGCTTGATCTCCTCGACCTGTTTGAGGACATCTTTGAGCTCGCCCGTGGCGAAATATACTCGAACTGGGGGAGTCAGCTAGAGTTCCCAGTCCCGGAGGTTCATGAGGAACTGGTTCACGTGTCGGCGTCATCCGGAAGCGGAGTTGTAGTCCACGTTGGCCTTGGTAGCCGCCGCATTGAGCCTCCACAAGATGGTTTGGGGCGTTTCCCGAGACTCCTGCATCAAGCGCAGGTAGCGCTCGACCGGGGCCTCCGTGGACCTGTCGATTTCCTTGTAAAATCGGTCCGAGAGCTGTCGCCAACTCCGGTTGACCGACTCTGAAAGCTGAGGTACCCAAGCCTTCGTCCCCGGGTTGTGTGAGAGACGATTGAAGAGCCGAGTGCACAACTCCGGCTCCTGCCAACCCCCACGGCTGGCGTGTACTGGAACTTGTCCCATCACGCACGATGCTTGTCCAGCTAAAGCGAGGTGTCGAAAGGCTCGACAACATCGTAGGCGATGAAGGGCCGTAAACTCACACCATACCCAGGGACGTAGCCTCCGGTCGCTGGCGCTCCGAAGGCTCCAGGATCTCCGGATCCCTAAGAGTCTCCGGGCCGGGACGATGGATGGTCTGTGCCCCCGAAGCTGCTATTCCAGGTCGCCGCGATTCTGGACAGTCCGGAACCGCCCGCGGTTGACACCTCTGAGGGGTCTCCCGTAGCCGATCACGGAAGCGCCGGGAAAGGTCCTGGGGCTGGTTCCGGTCCCTGTGGTTGGGATTTTCGTCCTGAACTTGCATAGGTCTGCGGACCGGGTGTGTGCCTGTGGAATAGGACCTCAAGGGTCTACTCGACGGCGGTCTCCGAGACTGGTCGGACGGTGAACTTGGGCCAAAATTGAATCCTCCGGCCGCTGGGTTCAGCGTTGACCTCGGAGGGTCGGGGACCGTCGTTCGGTCATGCCCCGGACCCCTCCTCGAGAGGGTCGCGGTGGAAGCGGGAGCTGCGACCACGGGGGCTGACTTTGGACGTCGGGCGGAGTTGGAGACGGATGCGGTAGGAGCCGGCTGGGCCGGTATCCTCTCCTCGTGTGAGGCTGTCACTGACATTTCTCCCCGCGGGTGCGCTGGTTCTACCCCGTCGGTCGGCTTCCCACGAACCACTGTCGCGGTGCCGAGACCGTCTGTTGCTCCGAGCTCGTTCGCTCCCGCTTGAGTGAGGGGATGCAGCGCGCTCTCGCGGTTGACGTCATGCACGTCCCGCAGCATATTGCTCCCGGAACATCCGGAGCTCTTCCAACTCGGCCTCCTAGAGTTCGGTACCCCGGACCGGTCTTTCCGAGCCTGATGTTCCATCTCACGCTTGATCGGGGGCAAATCTTCATCGGCTCGGATCTTGGTCTCTTCTATGGCCGCCGTAGCCCGAGAAATCGCTTCGCTGCATGGTTCAGACACTCCCTCCATTCGTCGGGAGGCTTCGGTTCGCAACTGGGAAACCTCTTCCCGTTCTCGTGCCCTTTCTTTCTCGAGCAAGTACATTGGCTTGGAGGCTCGCGAATTCTTGGTCCGCGGCCTTTTTCCTCTCCGATTCTCGCATGGCTGGATCTTGGTATTCCGCCTCGCGATATTCCGACTCCTGTTACGAGCCCTTCGTTTGCGCGGGTTGAGCGGGTTGGGCTGCGCGGTAGTCTTCGTGCCGGAGTCGCTCCTGCTAATTCCGAGCAGCCAACGCGGCTCGGAGTTCGAATATTTGTCGCTCTGCTTCCCGCAAATCCTGATTCTGATCCCGGCCGGTCTCGGAGAGACGGGGCCCTTGATCAACCATGGGGTCGTCCGATTTGGTCTCTTCATCGAGCCCGTCAGGGCCGCTGCCCCGAGTCATCGGCGGCGGCGGAGTCGGGGCGCGAGGTGGGAGCCCTGCGTCTTGGCTCGGCGGATACTCTGCGACTGGGACGTAGAAGGTCGGTTGCTCCACTGGCCTGTTCCCGAGCCGGTAGTGGCCATGTATACGCCGACCATGTCTGTGGATGATTCTATGCCAGGGGATCCCTGGGACCCTCCTCCTGCGGGCGACATGTTCTCGTCCAGGGTCAGCATCGGCGCGTCTCCAGAAGCCAGGTTGGATGTGCCGACGACCTCGAGGTAGGTCCTCCCCAGACTCGAGTGGCCTCGTCCGACCCAGGCCACGAAGGCACAGACAGCGGTACGTCAGTACTTCCACTGCGTCGTTTCGGTTCCGGTCTACTCGCGTCGGACTCAGACCAGTCCCGGGGACGCACATGTGCCAGACTCAGTCAGGTCACCGTCGCGGTTCCCAACAACTCTTGGTCCTCGAGTGGTAGCATCAAGGCATCACCATCGTCCTCAACCGGGAACACGGAGGCAGTCTCCGGATCTAGATCCTGATACGAAGCGTCGTCACGACGTACGCAGTAGTGGCGTCCCCGGGAGTTCGCGTTCCTAGAAACCTGCTCGGCCGTCAGTAGCCCCCAAAGAAAGCTGGCGTAGGATATGAACTGGATGTCTTGAGCCGCGAGCAGTTTCGGGCTCAGCGTACGTCTCCATATCGGGACCAGGTTCAGAAACACGTAACCTGCGTCATGCAAGACGGTATGCAGCACGGCGATCACGCAATTCTTCTAAGTCAACCTGGAGTGCCAAGGGGTCGACGACTACATGCAGGCAACGACATTCGCTTCGGATGTT